GTCTGAATAGGAATGATTGACTAAAACAGAATTTGACCTGGTTACAACACCTCCCTCTCCAATGAACTGACCAAAATCAACACGAATGTGATAAGCAATTTCACTATGCAAACACACGCTGCTTTTATAATTCTACACACTTATCAAATCCAACAATCTACACCTGGTTTTGTTACCTTTAGCAATTGGCCAATTTGACGACGCAAAATTGCCCCCATACTGAGGAACGATGATTAAGTTGTTATATATAAACTGATATTTTGTAAATTCTGGTTTCATAATAATTTGGTAAAGCTGTTAGCACTGGGTAGAGAAACGTCAGAGAAAACAATGTCGTTTTGTTTTTCATTCATTGGGAAATGCAAAACACCTTTATTATCATGAATATCATATACGCAATGCCCAAATGTTTTCAAACTGTTAGAAATGAACTTGATTTGGACATATATAAATCAAGACTATATGATACGATATGATATGAGCAACTGATTGTGCTTGAAAAGTCATCAGTAGAAGTTACGGTAACACTGTGTGAATTTTATCAAAAATAAAATCATTATTTTTTGTGATCTGAAGTTTCAGTCACTTTTTAAGAAGTGGGGTCATTATTACAACAACCTATCTTCCCTTTTTTTCTCGGCTTAGCACCAACTGGTGGACTAGACAAGGTGAATGTACTAATCAATAATACAGGTGATAATTATTATTGTTGATTTAGAAAAAACCACCTTTATTCTCGTAATATTACCTTCTTGTCTGTCTTGTATGTGTAAGGTTTTAGTAAAAAAAAATGTACAACGTGAAACATTTATGTACGTATGTGTAATTCTTTTACGAAATATCTAAATTACAGGCAAACAGTAGACAGTTTACACACATTAAAAAAAATTAAAGCGAGTAATTTTCACTATCAGGAATCATTAGTAAGTCTTCTGAAACTAAGGAATATTAAGATATTTTAAAGCATTTTAGACTTTATCCATTATTAGTTGTATAGTGACGCTTTGGTACTATTCAAAAGACGTATAGAATATGGATGCCAAACAGTATATCTGCTAATTAGTGCATTGTTGTTTAAGTACTAGGTCCTGTGGAGATGAGCAACAGGAGGCTATAATTCCGAGGTTTCTCAACTTTTTCTGCACTAGACAGCAAGGGGTATCTATGGCCAATAGGCTAGTAATATTTCCAGTGAAATTTCATCACATGGCCAAACTAACTACCTTATGATTGTGTTGAAAACCTTTAACGCGACGTCACTTTCACTGCTATTTGTTTACACGCATTAAGCTCCCATCTGGTAAAAGTATTTTCAAAAGTAACAAACAAGTCCATTTACCGATTACCTAGGAGATATGCATTGATTAAGGATTTCTGACGATTCACAGGTTATGTGTGGTATTGGTTGCATGGTGCACGTTTGCGTGGTTTCTTTTTCGGGTAAGAGAACTACATATTTTAACAAATCTGAAACCATGATCCTTCCTATCAAAACATTGCTTTTGCAAATGGATATTTCAAGCATTACGTGGAGTAATAATCTAAGACCACATTGACAAAATTACTGCAAATCCTGGTATTTTTTCGAATTCCTTGAGTTCAGAGTGGAACACGAGACTTCAAGGTTTACTGATATACGTATAAAACTTAGGCACTGTGGTAGAGGATAACTCCACTATGGATAAGATTTTATTTTGATAAATCACGTAGTGTTGCACAGTATAGTTAATATTACTGTTCGAAATTCAGTCACGAGATGTAAGGTTCATTAATGAAGTACTTATTTCTGTAGCGACCAACTGATGACATCGAGAGAGGCTGGTGACATAATGGATTAGGCCACGAAATCGTACATTCATAATTTGAAAGATCGTGTACAAAGGCGTAACCTGAAGAAAGGAATTCAGGTAATATTGTTAAACGCCCGCTTCGTTTTATAGGTTAACGTTAAGACAACATCTAGTAATCACAACATTGTTTTTATTTCTAGGCAAGTGGAAAAGATACCAGGGGATATAACAGTGGCAGTTATGTAAGCAAACTTTTCTAAATGTAAATGCTGGGAATGTGATGAGCACAGTGTTTCATCAACTGATATTTTATTTTGCTTATTTACAGGGTGCTACCAGTGGACCTAACTTGACGAATTAGCAGTGACATTGTACTACAGTTTCCAAATATAATTTCCAAATTTAAGCTCAAAAAATTGCCACTATGTGCTAAATTAAGTCTTTTTCTTCTGAAGTTAAGCTAGTCCATACTGAAAATGAGCTCAAAGGGTTTAAATAAAGCTGATAAGCAAAACCAGTAGGTTCTCATCTACTCCTGAAAATGTCTAGAAAAAGAACATGGTGTTGAATTAGTGTCAGTCATGCTGAAAACCAAAACTGAGTTCTAGACTGTGACATTAAAGAGTCTATTTAAAAAAGATCCAGAATTTACTGACTGTAGAACGTTGGAATTAGTGAGATTTAATTCAGCATTATGGTAACCTTGGGAGGAGCAGAACCTGCCCAGTCGGTTAATGCACGTGGGCAATGTGGGCAAAACATGGGATAAACGGGTAATTTTGATGGGCAAAAAGGTGGGCAAAAGATGGTGTAAATGCAACCAATTTTACCCACTTTGCCCACATAACCCACTTTTTCCCCGTTTGCCCATATGCGTAGAAATGTTTTTCTCCCACTTTTCCTTGTTTTCCCACGTGACCCACGTTGAAAATAGTCCACGTTTTCCCACTTTGACCATGTCATTTCTGAAAATAGCCCACGATTACCCACTTTGCCCATGTCATTTTTGAAAATAGCCCACTTTTTCCCACTTTACCCATGTTACAAACGACAAAGTGCCCACGTTTTTACCCACATATCCCAGGTCCAAAAAAATAATAACCGACTGGGTGGACTAGAAGGGCTGCAATAAGGCTGATAAGCTACTTCTGATAATGCGTAGAATGAGAACAAGGTGCTGAATTGGTGCCAGTCATGATGATAAACCAGCGCACAGTTCTACCTTAAGCAAATAATCCGTAACTGTTCTGCCAATGTTTGATCCAACAATGGCAGAACAGTTAAGGCGTTTAATTACTGAGAAAAGTTACTATATTAGCATAGTATGCGTGAATTGGCTCAATGACTGCAGATTTACCATAATCCTTAACTACCAACATAAAAAGTGGGAACTGCAAGCTAAAAATAAACGTCATCCCAGTCGGTTATTTTTTTTTTGGACCTGGGATATGTGGGTAAAAACGTGGGCACTTTGTCGTTTGTAACATGGGTAAAGTGGGAAAAAGTGGGCTATTTTCAAAAATGACATGGGCAAAGTGGGTAATCGTGGGCTATTTTCAGAAATGACATGGTCAAAGTGGGAAAACGTGGACTATTTTCAACGTGGGTCACGTGGGAAAACAAGGAAAAAGTGGGAGAAAAACATTTCTACGCATATGGGCAAACGGGGAAAAAATGGGTTATGTGGGCAAAGTGGGTAAAATTGGTTGCATTTACACCATCTTTTGCCCACCTTTTTGCCCATCAAAATTACCCGTTTATCCCATGTTTTGCCCACATTGCCCACGTGCATTAACCGACTGGGATAGTAGCATCCAGTGACAAGAAAACTGACCTACATACTCCAAAACCAGCAAAACGTTCAAAAAAACCTTTAAAATTCAATGGAAAACGAATTCACGAAAACATATAACCAGTAGACACAGGAACCCATCATGACCTTGAAACTGATTATAGCGTCTTTCATTTTCCACTTAGACTGTAAAGTCAATGCTGCTTCACAAGCGGTTAACGTGGTTTCAGTTTCACTCTTCAAAACCTGACTTCCTCAAAGCATAAAATATGCATTCCACGACATCGCGAATTGCCTGAACAAAGTGTGAAGTCAGTAAACTCATTATCAATAATGTATGTCTTATTACAGTCCTGATACGCCTACTTCTAATTCTTCCCAAAAATGCCTTGATTATGTAGGCGGTACAAGTGTTATTCATGTGACGACATCGCCCTACTTCTCCATTTATAATAGATGACACCGGATTGGTTTGGAAAAGATCCACTGATAGTCAAACCAAAACATATATTCAGTCCATGAAGACCTCGACTGTTGCTTTGAATCACGTGGAAGGATACAGACCTTCTAGCTGGGATACTCCACAGACCAGAAATCAATGGCTGCAGACTTTTGTAACATGGTTCAAGTTAATACAGCTGGAGCAGTTCCACTCACTCTTTATGCACTTCCACATCCATCAAATTCTCACTTTTCCACATGCATTCATTCCTTCTCCCCTACGTATCCATTCACTTCAGTTCCGTGGACATTTCTAGCCTTACCCACTGTGTGTTATATGCAGTGTGGTGACCTGAACAACTGTTGCACATTTGTGCATAGTCCTACATTGAAAACCCAACGAGTCGGTTCAAGTCACTCACCAGTCGTCAATCAGCGGCTTTCCTCCAGCCCATCCATCTCCATCCACATCTGACAAGACTGACTACTCTGATGACATGTTTCCTACTCTCTTTCAGATTGTCACTTACAACGTTCGCACATTCCTGGAACTCTGACACCAAACAGGTTTGACCAGGTTCGGGTCGAGTCATCACTCGACTCAATTCCCATCATTGGTTGTTGAAGCACTGTTAGGCGACAGGGTTATATTAGAGTAGAGTAGAGAGGAGCTGGTCAGTGACGTGGTAATCGTCTGTCATCTCTGTCTGTGCACTGACAGTCCCCATTAAGGAAGAGATGTGATACCGACTGACTGACTGACCTCAACTCAAATAAACGCACTCGAATATATCTTGTCGTGCTAGATAAAGTTGCGAATTACTGAATTTCAAATTGTTCGGTTAGCTGTGCATCTTTTAGTTAGTTTGTGCTGTGTGTTTGATGCCATTTATGTAATAGTTGTAGTAGTTGCAATAATTTTTGAAACTATATTCTAGAATCTTTCGTGTTTAACAGTCAGGAACCAGTCTCTTAGGTCAATCCAGTGAATGAACTTTCAGTTTGTGGTTGACATGAGACTTTGTTATTAAGACAATCGGATATTTACATACCTGTTCTGCATTTCCATTGATCGTCAAATTAGAAATGGCCCATGCAGCTTCCTTCTGTGTTAGGAATTCACTCTCGCACAGATGATGAATAATGAGTGGAACTAGACCATGATCAATTACAGCTTGCACTTGACTTTGGTTTCCTGCAGTTATATTGGACAGAAACCACACAGCCTCCTTGTTTATTTTATCTCTTGGATGGGTTAACAAAGCAGGAAAATGACTCAGAGCTCCACAATCCAGAACAACTTGTGTTTGCTGGTCCGAACCCGTAACAATGTTGCCAACAGCACGCAGTGCAGCAGTTTGCACCTTGAAACTTGAGTGTGACAACAACGGGACCAAGTGAGGCACGATCTCTGCATTAATTACCATTTCTATCTGATCGTTCCCTCCATCAGTTAAATGGGATATAGCCCACACGGTATCCACGAGTATCTGCAAATAGACCAACAAGCACAAAATATGTATCAATATGTATTCAAAAGTATTTTACTAAATGGGTCAAAATGATACTGAGGACCAGTGAAGTGAGGCTTGAGATCAAATGATCCTTAAATAAATTTTTCCGCCCCTTAACATTATTTCCAATACGGGAATTCCACTAGAGTCGACCTTGTATGTCAAGGGAACTGATGGCTATACACATGTCCAAACCCTTTCATAACATATCAGAGACTACTGCCGTGACTATTATCACCACTTGCTTCGCAAAAACATGAGTGGGGGTTTTGCAGATTGGAAACCTTTCTAACTGTTTGCGACCATGCTCCGCAGAACAGTTCCTTACGCCATGGTAGTTTCCCACTATACATTATCTACATTCTATGCTGACACACTCCAAAATTATTTTCTGTATCACTTTCAAGACTACTTCGCAAAGCTATACACTTCGGTGGCAAGCAACGAAAGCATATCCCAACTGATGTTAAATGACAGTAAGGTAAATAAACAATGTGATAGCTGTCCGATTGATTCACCAAAAGCCGACACATTACTGGGTCAAAACCAAGGCGAAATAAATCATCTGTAATCAGATAACTCCAATATATACCAAAGACAATAACTTACACTGTCGTCAGTATGCTTGATCAAATATAGAAGGGCCGGAAGAAGTTCTCTGATAGCTGAAGCTGGTGGAGGCGGATCTTTGTTACGACACAGGTTAACCATGACCCAAGTGACATTGCGCAAGAAGTTAAGTGGTATGTTTGGTGTTAACAGCTTCAGTAGTGGCTTTATGACATCCAGTTGAATCACATAGTCGCGTAAAACAGGACCGTCCCCAATAATGTTTCCCAGTGCCCAAACAGCTTGTTCACACACATTGGGATGTGAAGAAGACAGCAACTTGAGGAAGAGTGGAACAGCTCCCGCATGAACCACAGCCAGGGTCTGTGAAGATGTGCCAGATGCAATATTTGTTAACGCCCAAGCAGCCTCGAATTGAAGATTGGGACTGCAAAACACAGAAATACCACACAAAGAGCAAATTAACTTTCTCAGAAAAATCTAAAGTGCTTTGAAAACCGACCCTGCGATGAGAAGCTATGGACAAGGATGCGCTGTTGAACAGAGAAGTGCCACCGGTAAACGAGTGGATATGTGTAGTCACAGAGCTCTGAATACCGACGATATTTTCATTACAATTAAGAATCACAGGTTATTGGCAATCTATCTGAATTATTTAGTACAAGGACTTGAAGCAACACTGAAAACAACATTGCGAAGTGGAACTCTATGGTAACTACCTTTATTTGCCAAATATACGAAAATACTGCAGTAAATTGTCTCTGCTGACACTCACTGACTGGTTACAACACAGAACTTTGCACCGATGTGCAGCAGTTCAAGTCGCTACACTCCATGTAGCACACACAGCGAGAGAAGAAAGTAGAAAGAAGTGCATATAAGAGATAGTAAACAGAGGCGTGAGACAAAGGAATAGTAATAACAAAGAACAAAACAGTTTCATTGGAAATCATTAGTCACAAGGAGTGGATGCATCTGCGCCGGCCAGTGAGAACGATTTTGAGCCATATCACCAATTGTTTCTAGTCATTGGTTTTTACCGTCCCGAGGACCACGACGAGGAAGTCTACACCTTCCTACGTGGCTCAAGCTAACTGTTGTGGATTTCATTGCTCTGCTAGCACATTGCAAACAGATTGGACAGAAGAGTAACAAAACCTTAGTTCGCGTTCACATCTTGGGACATCTTTGGTCGACAGCCTGCTGAACTCGTTTTGCAATGCCAATCTACCTTTCATTATCTGGTCTCAGAAGTCTCAGCTGTGGTAGACAGGTTCCAGCACTTTTGTTCGTGCCTAATTCCTGTATAAATCTCTCGGTCAATCCATGGGAACAATGTTTTCGACTCGTTTGGACAGACTAAGCGATGAAAGGTTTGGTTTCCTGAGCGTAAAGTTGCTCAAATTGTCCCTACACTTATGTACCAGTTCAGAGGCTTAGCCTATGAAATGATGGCATTTAAATCACCATTCCAAATGTTTGGTCGAGCTGGGGTTTTGGTCCATTACACTGCTTCTGTCAACTTGAAAGCGAGCACAGTGCGGTTACTTCTTCCTAAGGGATGAAGATGTTGTACGAGGTCCACATCCTCGTCATGGGAGAAAACCAGATCTACGGTTATGGAGACTTGCTGTGGCTCATAGTGCGTGGGCTTCGTGATATGTCATAGGGTTAGTGAAATACTGCATTCCAGAAGATTATAGTCAAAGGAGTTTTGTGGATATGGCGTTATAAGGACTTTCCAGTCAACTGTTGGGGGGGGGTGAATTACCTGACCACTAGACTCCAACATTCTGACATCCATTAGCTTAGCTTCTCTATTACGATATCGTCAGCATTGCAGTTGAGACTACTGTATAAAGTAATGAGGTCAAAGCATTGGATTGTGTACTCAAGTCTGCAATGTAGACGTCCTCATGCTACAACTTCTTTTGTCAGAATGTCGATGTTCTACACAGTTAGGCATTTACTTTCTGTCTCGTACCCCAACTAGAAGGTCTGTATCCTTCTACGTGATTCAAAGCAACAGTCGGCCTTCATGGACTGAATATATGTTTTGGTTTGACTATCAGTGGATCTTTTCCAAACCAATCCGGTGTCATCTATTATAAATGGAGAAGTAGGGCGATGACTTCATATGAGTAACACATGTCCTAGTCGTCTGAATCAGTGCATATCCACGGCTTCATTTACTGATTTTCCCTCCTTATCTAACTCTCCACACGAAACCCCCCAGTGCCACTCAGCATTTTAATCAACACAAAACGAGGACTAGAATGCAAACACCTGTGGCCAAAGGCAGTCGACCTCTACCTCTCTTCCACTTCCAATGTTCACGTTCAACAATCATAAAAAGGAATGAGAGAACTGCTGCTCAGTACACACGTTCTTTGATCGACAGTCGGCTGGGAAGTCTAAGAGACAGATGAGTAGTTCGGCAAGTGGCAGTTTTATGGGTGCTGAGATTTCGTCAGCAATCATGGGACGCTAGTCCAGTCGATGCATCCCAGTCCTGCATCATCATCTCATATTCGACTTAGGAAGGTACATAATGAAACTACGAATATGGAAATTTACAGACACCGATTATTACAATAAATGATTGTTAAGGCAAACTTGAACATAGACTAAAGGCAAGATATACAAAAGAATAGTCAGCTACATGTAGAGTAGATTTATGGCTGTCGAATATCAACTTACTCATCACTTGTTAGACATGACACCAATTTAGGGAGCATGCCAGCATTGATCAGCTCGTCAATGGGTGGATTCCGGTCACTTGAAAGAAGCTTGCGGGCAGATTGTACAACAAGAAGCCTGACTGCAGGATCCTCACTCGAAGCATTCGCAACAATGGCTTCCAAGTTTAACAGAGGTGACTTTCCCGTTGCTTCGACCTCTGTATCCACAGGGTCACCAGATGCTGGGAAGTTCCTTTTCCGCTGAAGAGTTTCTTCACGTTTAGTCTTTCGCAGCTCCACCTGGCCTTCTTGGCGGCGACGTCGCATTTCCTGTGACAAGAAGTTAAGAGGAAACTGAACTTACTTACATCAGCGCTTTTCCCTGCATTTTTGAAAGACAATATGCGGGCAGCCGCCTGGTCACTCATAGTACAATGCTAAATTTGAAAACCGAAACCTAGAGCAGTGTTAAAACTAGTCCCCTGCAACCTTCAATGTCTAATAATCCACTATGTGTATGACTTTAAAATGACTACTTAGCTTCGTCAGAAATAAAAGATATCACCCATTATTTTGAGACATTATTTTATCAGTATAGTCGGAACCAATATCCACTATCATTGTGGTGAGGTCGTTACATCGCTAGCCCCATGAACGATCCATTAAAGTCGACGACTGACACCTATGTGATGGGATCATCGGCAGTAAGTGCAGTGATACACCTCAGACGTTTATTCTTGCATATCTAGCTGTTATATCACCTCACAATATCCGAGACTGGCAGCCGTTCATTATTTCGAATTTGAGTTTCTGACAACAGGAAATTCTGCAAATGACGCTCATAAATCATTTTTATGACCTGTCAGATTCACTAAATATGCTGTCCCAATACGCTGTCAGTCAATGTAATATGTTCTTCATCTGGAAGTGCCAGTCAGTATGGTATTGACAGCACAACTAAATCATTAGTATGCATACTTGGAAGCTGGATACGACGGACAGAAAACATGAAGGTAAATGGGGATGCTGAAAAGCTTAACAATGGTCACATACCGATATATAATCCCACTTTGTCTGAGGTGTTCGGTATAGACATTTCAGGATAATGATAAACTGAAACAACCCCGTCTTACTTGATATGTTTATGTGTGTAATACTTGGGCACTGCCGTAGTATGTACTTCAACATCAGTTTTTTACTGTATGATACATCACACAATGAAACAGCTTTATTTACTGGACGACATCTTAAACACAAACTATTGTTCATAGTTGCAGCGTTTTTAATCACACATCTTAGAAACTTTCGTCATTGTTACTTTTCGCCAACTAACTCCTAAGATATGACTTCATAGAATAGTCCTATCCTGATATTAATATATATGAGGATTGCTGTTTTCAGCAGTTCCAAAAATATGCATTTAGCTGACGAAGAGTGGTCACTCGATCAGAGCACTGACCAACCGCTATTTACCAACCAGTATTTCGCAGGACATACTGAGCAACCAGAGCACTACAGACGGCAGTATTTCAGATGCAAATTATAACATGAATAGCCTGATAGCTGCATTAATTAGATACACTTGAAAGATAGGAGATAAAGATGACAACATAGCACACTCTAAGTATACTTCAAATTGCCCATATTTCTTAATTAATCTAGTCAATTAACTGGCTTGAAGTACTTCAGGAAGTTTTCAGTAACAGTTGACTTATGTAGCGGTAGGTAATTCCCCAGGAATTATTGGCCAGAGCACTCATCACTGAACACTGGGTGCTGACCGACACTGTTTAAGTCAACTTGTTTAGCTGAAGGCTTCTGGTCAAGCATCCACGCCATTTGGCACGTTGTCGTGTTATGTTAATTAGCTAAGCAGTCATCTCGCACTCCGATTTGGTCCCGAAATATAACTCGTTGTTTGGACGATCAATTCTGGTGTTTTGCTTTGCATTTTTGAATACGTGGAAAGAATACTACAGAAGTTGTAGGTGTTAGATATCGCGTCACTATACTTCATCCTATTCCTTAACGTCAACGCATTAAGCGTCTAATTATAGTTCAATTAGATCCTTGAAGTTCCTGCAATACATTTGCTTAGCTAGAGGGAGCGATGTTACCCTGCTGCGGAAGAATATCTAAAAAACCGTCCAACTGACTGCATATGGATTACTTGGAGAAACAAATGTTATTCACGAAAGATTCTAGAATATAGTTTCAAAAATTATTGCAACTACTACAACTATTACATAAATGGCATCAAACACACAGCACAAACTAACTAAAAGATGCACAGCTAACCGAACAATTTGAAATTCAGTAATTCGCAACTTTATCTAGCACGACAAGATATATTCGAGTGCGTTTATTTGAGTTGAGGTCAGTCAGTCAGTCGGTATCACATCTCTTCCTTAATGGGGACTGTCAGTGCACAGACAGAGATGACAGACGATTACCACGTCACTGACCAGCTCCTCTCTACTCTACTCTAATATAACCCTGTCGCCTAACAGTGCTTCAACAACCAATGATGGGAATTGAGTCGAGTGATGACTCGACCCGAACCTGGTCAAACCTGTTTGGTGTCAGAGTTCCAGGAATGTGCGAACATTGTAAGTGACAATCTGAAAGAGAGTAGGAAACATGTCATCAGAGTAGTCAGTCTTGTCAGATGTGGATGGAGATGGATGGGCTGGAGGAAAGCCGCTGATTGACGACTGGTGAGTGACTTGAACCGACTCGTCGGGTT